AAAGTGCATAAACTTTTGGGATTGACTGTATAGCCAATACATCCTTAAATTTTGAGAAACACTGGTATAGCCTCTGAATCGGCAACAAGGGAAATAGTTTGTCCCTCGAAACGGCTGGTTCCGGTGGTCGGTAGCTGATCTCGACAAATCTGTTCCTACCTGGTTCTTAACCGTCGACGACGAACCCTTATTATCGGATCTCATTCGCTTCTGGTACCTAGCCACGTTATTATTGTCGGAAATAAATCAGCGTCGCGTCGGAAAAGTTCCAAGTTGTCGCCGATGAACGTTTACCTGATTCTTTTCCCAATTTCACAGCTCGCCGGAGATTCCGGCCGTGATTTCGTTCCCACCTTCCCCCGATACACCCCCTCGAGAAAGTATCCCACGCGCCGTTTCACTCCCCGCAATTATTAATTAACCGTAATATTAGGTATTATTACGTATCTCATTTTCTCAATATTCCTACGTTAGCTCGTTCACGTTTAATATCAGGATCAAAGACTCGAGACGTGATGAGGTAAGAAAAGAAGTCCGTCGGAAAATCGGGTATTTTTTGCTGCCACTGTACATCCCGCGAGGGAAACGAACGATTTTCCAGCCGAAGACAAACACCGTGCCACGGGCACGGACTTCCATGGACTGGAATTTATGGTTCCAATTTATAGGTTCGACCGGGAGATACAGTGGCTCGCGAAAGTGCCACAGATTTTTTTCACCAGACACTTTTTCAAACGTAGTAATCTCTCTGGAGCCTCACAGCGATCGAAGCATCTCCACTGATTCGCATCGACATAGCAATTCAAATAGTTACCCGACGTTATTAACAAGAGAAACCGATAACGATTTAAATAGAGGAGCGAGTTAAATAATTTTTAATTAATAGAGCGCCGGTGGAAACGTCGAGACGCAAGGAATCGCCGACAGTAAATTGTAATTGTAATTTGGCGAGACGTACGAAATTCCGGCGGAATTTATTTTACCGAGATTGCGAGGGAGCGGGACGCGATATACGGTATGTATTTTATTTCGGAAAGTTTGTTCAGATGAGGAGCTCTGTTTGCGGAGCGAAGAACGGCGGAGCGAAAAAGGGGATAAAAAGGAAGGAGGAGGCAAAGCCCCGGTGCGGCGTTAGCGACCATTAGCTTTTAGCACGGTACCACCGCGACCGAGAGAATGGGAATAAAAAACGAGGAAAAAGCGTACGCCGTGCTGGAAGGCGAAAAATCAGTCGAGAATTACCATCTTTGCCCCATTAGTCCGTGCCCCGATACCTTTCAAACTCCCTCGTTACCGTTACCGAAATCTAACAAATAATTTTTAACCACTCCCGATGTTTAATTAGAAGATCAATTAGATCGTTTCCAGATTTAATCTGCAGAGAAATTAGTCGGATTTTTGTCTCCACTTCATAAAACAAGTTGCACACGCTGAGAGCATTGAGAATGCATATAACATGCAAAAACGTGACATGTCGAAGTATTGTAGATTAATGTTAATTTGTCAGAAGAGAAATTTCAGCCCTGATTTGATTTTTACATTAGCATTTTGCTTAAATTCCCCGTGGGTATCGAAATTAGATTAGCGAAAAAAGAGTTCTCGTGGGATTGATATGTAAAATCGCTGTGAAACACGTTCGCCAATAATCGTGCGTGTCCGATAAGGATCCTCGAGACGAGACAGGGGTATTGTTTCTTTGAGACGCGAGGCACTCCGCTGATAAATTAGGTCAGGAAGTGGTACGAGCATTGTCTCGCACTTAGAGAGGGAATATATGTACATACCTAAGTGCGCGGAGTATAGAGCCAGTAGGTATGGGCTTGATGATTGCTTTTAGATGATGGAGCAGTAATTACAGCTATTCCCGACTTCTACGCTGCTTCTACCAACAATAAGCGAGGAGGAGAAAGAGGAGGAGGAGGAGGAGGAGGAGGAAGTGAAGGAGGTTGTCTCTTCCATTGTGAAGGAGACACGAGATACGCGTCTCTATGAAAATTTCAATACCCGCGTTTACCAGCGCAATTAGCAATCCTGAATCAATTAAACACCTGCAAAGGACGAGATTCCTTTGAAGTTTCACGAAACTCATCGATCAGATTTTGGCACATCGGAATATTTAACAGATTTTTGCAAAATTTCATCTCATCTAATATTTCGTAGTTGCACCGAGAAACCTTAAAAGAATCGCATGGAACCATTGCGGAATTCGTCCATAGAAATGTGAGAGTATTCGATCGCGGCGAATATCGCGTATCGGCCGTCGTCTATTTAAAACAAGAAACAGGGCGACGAATTTGTATTCAAGAGAAGAAATATTGTAGACCGTACCGACCGTTGACCAACCGGGGGGTGATTTCGCAGTGCTTCGTTTCGTGCAAACATCTCTCGTCAGACGGAATCGATTGTACACTTAATTGAATTTTCCGTTCGTTACCCGATCCTCGATATTTAACCCCTTGCACTCCTCCCTCCTCTCTCTTCTGGTCTATTCTATTCCGCTCTGCTCTGGCCTGATCGCGTTTCGGATACCACTCGTACAATTAACAATTATTTTTTTTGCCCCGCCCGTAGAAATTTCGTGAAACCGAGTAGATATCGGTGAATTGTAGCCACTGGGTAAATTCGTTTCAAACAAAACAGAACGATAAATCAAGTCTGCCGTGTAATATTAGATTTTTCATACGAAATCGATTTTTCTCTTAAAAAGAAAATTAATAATGTCATTTATACTTTCCATGTTGTTCGTGCTCTACAATTTTTCATAGCACAATCTTCCCATACGAGCTTCCGGTGAATTATAATAGTTCGCCTACTTCCGAGGTTTCTGTTTGTCGTCACGAGGCAGGGAACGAATAAAGGGAAGAAAGAACACTTTCCCCCTACTCTCACAGGTTTCCGCTTTGTCTAGCAAAAAACTTTCCTCAATTACTTGAAGAAGCGTTCGCGAGCATTGAATTCGAGTCGAGTACGGCAGCGACGATCAGAGGAGAAGGGAATAACGTGTCCCTCCCGAGAGAGGAGGCCGTGCCGTAACTTCCTCTCGGCCCGTATACTCGAGCACGCCGCGCCGTTCTTCTTTTCGTGACTTATTGAAACCGAGACGCGCGCGTATACTTTACCTATGTAATTGAAAGGTCTTTCGTAAACCGAAGAAAAAAAAAAGGGTCGGCCGACGTACGATGGGCCGGTAACTTGCAATTTTAACTACCCTACCTAAGCTACTCTCGACCCAATAATCTCTGCTTCTAATACAATGGGTGACTTATACCTGGATACATGCTTACATCTATTTATATACTTCGTTTTACCTGTGCATTTAAGAACCTGTTCGGTCGACTTCATATACAATGTCCCGTGGGACAATCGATATGTACAATGTTTCAACGATTGACACGATATTTGATGAAGTAATGAATATACTGATCAACCCTTTGCACTCCTATGTGACTCGATATCAGTTTTTATCGAGTTAAAGGTCTATCTACACTAACGTAACGTCACCGTCACGTCAACGGCACGTAAGGTCGGGAAAGCGAAAGAACCCTCGAAGCAAGTAGTGGACCCTAAACAGCAGGTAGCCCGCCTATCGATTCGGTGACAAACGTGGGTCTTGAGGTCCCTGTTTTTTACACGATTTTCCCTATACCCTGTCCTAAAAACTACAGCACTGATTTCATTGCCGAACATACGTCCTACGATCTATGAATCGTCTTACGTCGACGTTAGTGTAGATAGACCTTAATACGTTGTTTTCAGTGTGTCACAGAAATTACCGATATCGATAGAATTTCAAATCGATATTTGTTGGATGTAATTAAAATTGGACGTAGCTCGTGAAGGGACGTTGTCTCTAATCGGTATTTCGTTATTTGTTGTAGAGTGCAATTGCAACCTCCACGCGAGAAAGTGCAGATTCAACATGGAGCTGTACAAGTTGTCGGGACGCGTAAGCGGAGGCGTTTGCCTTCAGTGCCGGCATTTCACCGCCGGTAGACATTGCCACTACTGCCGGGAAGGTTACTACAGGGACCCGGCCAGGCCCATCCAGCATCGGAAGGCCTGCAAACGTGAGTACTCTTCCGCCTTCTTCATTAACACGACTAGAGTCAATAAAAAGAATCATTCCGAACAAACTGTTTGATCGTTCAATTAAAACCGGTGTTTTTACAAAACGGTCCGATGGACCGAGACGAAACAGGAATTTCACTTTCATGAGGTTCATACATCCGTTTCTTCTTATTGATTCGTCCTGTGTTCTTAATTAATTGCCAGTTTTCAATCTGTTATTTGCGTTTCGACACGCGGATTCTGCTTTGATGAATAAACAACACCCGAGTTCGATTTATCATTGGACAGCAAATGCGTTTTAGATACCTCGCATTCTATATTTCGCTCGGGGAAACACGCCGGTGCACGGGTTTTCTGGACAAAATAATACATTGACTACGCGATGAATAAAGAACGCAGAGCTATTTCGCGATCATTTGTCACCGGATACCAAATGCGTTTTAGATATCTCGTATTCTATTTCGTGCCGGTAGAACGCATTCGCGCGCGGCGTATTTGCCGAATAAAGTACATTGATAGCGCGACGGTGGATAAAGAACGCGCAGGTATTTCGTGACCGAATGCGTTTTAGATGTTTTGTATTCCGTATCAATAATGGAATACTGTTATTCGCCCACGACTTATGTCGCTTTTTAATCGAACCGTGTACAGTGAGTGAGTGAGTGAGTACGCGTAGTCGAAAGCTCTCCGTGAAAAGCGCGATGGTACAGAAAGAGGCGCGAAAGGTACTTAAATATACACAGTATAGTATAGCGCAGCTCGTCGTACACGTACACGGTGGTGTCGGTAAGGTGCTTGAACCCGATATACACTTCGTTTCACAACTATAAAACGAATCAACAAGTCTTGTTTCGCGTTTCGACCCGATCTCATAATTATTCCCATAGTTCGATTCGTCAGTCGATGATTCCACGTTCGTCCACAGATTCATTTTTAATTTGACCCTTGACCCTCGGGTTAGACAAATTCGTGAAGAATGCCTGAGAAATCCGACGACGTTTAATATCGTTAATTGGCAGTTAAAAATTTTTCACCGAGCGACGCGTTCAAGTGACGTTTTCGTTGAAAAGTCGGTGATAAATTTGAATCTGTATGGCGTTTGTGAAAGGCAGTGTAGATCGAGCAAAGCTTTCCTCTTCTCGCGTACTCGGCGCACGTTAGCATATTCATTATCCGGCACTTAGCCGGGCCTTAAACCAGCGGTGGTGGCTGCGATTCTCGGATCAGCACTATTACTCTCTCTCATTTCTCCGTTCCATTCTTCTCTTTGCGTCTTTCCTTCCTTTCTACCCTTCCAAGTCCCTCCCTTTCTTTTTCTTTTCATCGGAAATAAGATTATTGCCTATTGTATTCCAGGCATTTCGCAGATTATTCGTTTATTATTCCTCGATCACACCGACTGATCCACGGTTTTCCATGTTTTTCATCAATAAGAAATTAATGTCGGTTTTACTGTCTTCAACTGTGAGGGTCAGTTTTGGTTCATTATAGTTTCTCAAAGTTATCACTTTAAACTTAATTTACAATCTTTTTTTCCAAACTCAATGCAACAGTTCATAAATTATATATACAAGACAAGAAATGTAGAGTTAAACTTGGTTGCAGTAAATTTGGCAATGACTGAATTCTGATACTAGTTAATTCTTGTTCGGGATACGAAGGTTGATGATAATGTCTATCCATACTGAGATTGGAATTCTCGATTCGATCGCTGACCGCGGTGACCGATTCCGTTTGAGAGGGCTAACCGAGCCGAAGGGCGGCCTGGAGGGTGTCACCGGGGTTTAAAGTAAACACGCGGAGGCTCCACCGTAGGGGTGGCAAAGAGTAGAGGACACGGTTGAAACATATCGTTCTGTTCGGAACCGAAACGGTATGGCGGCACGCGTGCTCCGCTCTGCAAACAGGGGACGCTTCTAATATTACCCGGCAGCCACCCCGTGCTCCCTGCGTGTGTCTACACGCGTGGATATAGATACAGCGAACGGCACAAGTATTGCGGATTAAACTTTCCCGTCGAACGTTTCATCAACTGTAAAATAAAACTTTTCTAATATCGTTCGGAAGAAATCGATGAATTAACTCCGATCTACATTTCCTTCCAACTTCACGAATAATAATATTTTAATACCTGTACGTTTTACCAGTTTCTCTACATTTCGGATTAACCGATAAGGAAATGCGCGCTGGAAATCTGAGCCACAGTATGAGAAAGAACAGTAGGTTCATTCTTTGAAAAAGTGCATTAATTCGTTTCGTTGCCGATTACTAATTGCCGAGTACTTGATAAAAAAAAACGAAAAATCAGTTTTTTTGCAAAACTATAGACGATAGGAAAAAATGTTTCAGACGAAAGTGGTAGATCTCATTGTCAGAGCTACGAGAAAGATCGTATGCAATTTTCCCGTAAGTCCAACGGTTTGGGAGTTATTGGTAAGAAACGAAAATTTCGCAAAATCTAAAGGGGGGTACCCTTAGAATTTTGCTTCTATCTTAAATGCTTCAGGATTAATCGATTAATTAGTTGGTTGATTGATCATAAGTGTCGACAACGCAAGCGAGCCTCCTGTTCTTTCTTCTACTGTGTCTGAATCAAACGACGGAATATTTTTGTGCGTCGCTGTACAGTTTTGCAATTCGTCGAGCGATATCGGAACAAACGAAAAACGAGAAAACAAGAGAGGAACGCAGGAAAAAGGCGAGGGAGAAAAATATCGCCGGCAATATACATATTTCACGCGGCGGCATGGGCTTCGACAAATTTTAGTTGAAAAAAGTACAAACAAGAAAAAGTTGTGTCTGTGTATGCGTGTATACGGTCCCAGTAAACCAGTCAAAAGTTTCGGGCCATTCGGTATTTCAATGAATGGACGGATTTAGAAAAAGCGCAGTTTACGCCGGTCTTAAGTTACTTCCAGAAACTTTCAGATCTATGGAAGTGCTCATTAGGAAACTAAGCAGTTGAGCCAGCAGTTTCAGCTAAATAATCTGTACAGAATCTCTTACTACAGGATTTACACAAGATAAAACCAAGATTTATTTGATGTTTCTTTTACTTCTCAGAAATATGCATTCTTTATATTGACCATTCGACTTGCTACAGTTTGAAAATGGGCAAACAGAATATCGTAACATTTAACAGAAGACAATCTGTACTAGTCAAATAGAACTGAATTTAAGGTTGTATGAACCCTTATATAAAAATGCAAGCAAATGACAAACCATTGAAATTTTAACAGTTACTAAATATTACATTAATA